AGATAGAGAGGGAGGCACAGAATCTGAAACAGGCTCCAGGCTCTGAGCTGTCAGCACAGAGCCCGACGTGGGGCTTGAACTCACGGACCGCGAGATCATGACCTGAGCCGAAGTCGGCCGCTTAACCGACTGAGCCACCCAGGCGCCCCATAGTTTTCTCACTCTTTACATAAAATAGTTGTTTGTTTTTTTTTAAGTATGTGTAAGTCCTAATTTCATTCACTCAAGACAGACATTTACAATTGTGCCTGTCCTATGCACAGAAATACTATACTAGGCTCCAAGGATTAAAAAAAATTCTACAAAGCTCAAAGTATAATAGGGGAGAAACGTAATTATAATACAACGTGGTGTAAAGGCAATATACAAAGATGTTGGCAATAGGCTTATATATGGTAACTGAAATTAGCAGAGTATAAAACAACTGATACACGGTAAGAGCAGTGGGCAAAGAAACAAACACTGGGAACACAAACACATTTAAGAGCACTTTAACAGATATAAAGCCCAAGAATGAGCACAGAAGGAATGATGAATAAAACACATGAGAAACAGAAGAGCAGCTTTCTGAAGGACGAAATCAACAGTGCCAAAATCAATATTAAGTCTGAAAAAGAGTACAGAGGACCTATGAATGAGGCGTTACTGGTAGCCCCAGAAGCTTGTAAGTTGTGAATATAAAAAGGCAGATTACCATGCGATGAGTCCGTAGAAACTAAGAGTCAAGAAGTTTGAGTAAGAAAGGAAGACAGGATAGTAAGTAAGAAGAGTACAGGACAAAAAGGAATTCTTTTCAGGAACAGAGGGACTTGAATAGGTTTTTGGGCTAAAGCGAAGGAGCAACTAGAGAGGAAGAGGTTGAAGAGTCTGGAAACAGAGGTGACAGAAAAGAGCAAGAACCCAGGAATGGTGGAACACAGTCAAAAGCATGACTGGAGGAGTTGAGATTGAACAGGAAGTGAAATATCCCACCTACTAAAACCAAAGGAAAGAGAGTAATGATGGCAAGGGGAAGATAAAGTTGTAGGTAAGGGAGGGGGCAAATAGTTGAGGATGGAGATCATTCCCAGTAACTTAATTTTCTCATATGTGATTTTTCACTTATTGTGACAAAAGAGCTGGAAAGAAAGTGATTCTTCAAACTAAATCCAATTTGAATGGTCACAAATAAGGAATTAATGAAATTACACAATATTAGATGAGAGTCAAAGCATGAGTTTAGAGACAAAGTATATTCTATGTTATTTCACCAAAGACAATACAGTACGTATTTCTGATCAGCCCTAACAGACCAAATGTAGCAGGAAAAAAGATCTAGGACAAGAACTGGCAAGATTTTTAAAGGACCAGGTAATAAATATTGTTTGGCTTTGCAAGCCATATAGTCTCTTATTCCAACCACTCAACTCTATCCCTGTAGCATGAAAGCAGCCACACACAGCACAAAAATAAGCAGGTATATTGTGTTACAATAAAACTTTATTTACCAATGAGTGAATCTGGCCCACAGGCCTGAAGTTTGCTGGCCCGTTCTCTAGACTGAGAACGCTTTTAAGGAAATGAAGCAGTAGAATGAAGCGTAAGTTAGGAGAATGAAGAAAGACGAGCAGCCAGAACTAAAATGTAGTTGACATATTAAAGAGCAAAATATGAGAAAAGCAGCAAAAGAAAAAGCAGAAAGAGAATGAAGGAGAAAATCAAGTGAGAAAGGAAAACTGGAAACAGGAAAGTAAAAAATGAGTAGAGATCATACGCCAATTCCAAAGCAGAAAGATGCAGAGACAAAAAGCAGCTGAATGCCCTACAAAATAGCAAAATGAAGAGGGGAAAATAAGAGCATCCCATATCTGTCTGCAATGGAATTCAGATAACGGATAAAACACACACTAATTTTCCAGTGATGACCTGACAGTCTAATTGTGGGTGTGCAAAAGGAATCCACAGCTTACAAAATGCAGAGTTACTCTTCATTTTGCCCACAACTCAACCTGGTAACATGTATAGCATTCAAGAGATCACATGAAACTTACCCATCATATCATAAAAAACAGATCAATTATTTCTAGGCCTTTTATTCCCTTGCATATGTGTACAAATGTGACAACTTTAAAAACCTAGTAAAACAAAAAAACTTACTAAAATCAGTAGTATTAAGAAGTTAAAAGCCATACTAACTTAACTTTTAAAAGTTTCCCCAAAAATAAAGCCAAAGATTTTAAAAAGAAAAGAATCTTGAATAATCTGCATATTTATACTATACAGGAATTTTGTTTACTTTTGGCTTTGTGGGGAAATCCCTTGAGGTAAATGCAGGCTTATTCTGACTATGCTAAACAACAAATGAGACCACATAATTTATGTCACAATAGTACAGTGTTCAAGAACATGAGTTGGGGGGTTAGAAGCTGCTAGGTTTGTGTCTTCACTTTACCAAGTTACTTAATCATGTCTTAATGATTAATTAATGCCATGCCAATTAATTACCCTAAAAAGTTTTTTCTATACTAATAGCATCTCCAAAATAATACTTATAGAGGGCAAGGATAGTATTAATACTATCTTCCAGGACAGTATTAAGAATCTGGCTTAAGAGACCTGAAATCCTTCGGGCACCTGGGTGGTTCAGTGGGTTAAGCGTCCGACTTCAGCTCAGGTCATGATCCCACAGCTCATGAGTTCAAGCCCCACGCTGGGCTCTGTGCTAACAAGCTCAGAGCCTGGAGCCTGCTTCAGATTCTGTGTCTCCCTCTCTCTGCCCCTCCCCCACTCACACTGTCTTTCTCTCTTAAATGAATGTTTAAAAAAAAAAAAGAGAAAGAGAGAGAGAGAGAGAGAGAGAGAGAGAGACCTGAAATCCTCAACACATGACTTAATACTATTTTCAGGATACCATGCACTGGACACAATTGTGTAATTCACTAAACCACTACAGTCTTTAAATAAAATACCTGAAATTACTCCACTATGGGATGTCCTCATCAAGAAAACTATATTTTTATGTATAGCAAAATACATCCATCCCGTTATGAGTGTACTGAATAGTGTCAAAGTTGTCGCTCTGATCTTTTTTCTTGGCTTTCTACAATGAACACAAATTACCTAAGAAATAAAGACATGATAAAATAATAAAATAAAATAAAAAATTTAAGACATTAATTTTGAAGAGGATCAAAGAATGGGATGCCACAGATATTTCCAAGTAACATTTATCTTTCCAAATTTAGGAAATGCTAATTCACTTTAAGAACAAAAGACAAAGCGTATTGTAAATGGCTATTAGCTAAATGGCCTGGTACCCAACAGAGTAAGGAACATTTTGTTGTTGTTGTGACCAATACTTTTTCCAGAGTGCTATGTACTACTAGATTCAACTAAAACTGTATTTTCCCTTTCAGCTTATTATCCAAAGTCAATTTTTAAATTTAAAACAGTGAAATACTTCAACAGTATAAGCATAAATATAATTTTGTGGTCCTAGGCATAAATAAGATCAACTCCAAAGGCAGCAACGAAAAAAAGACTTGTTTCCTTGTATGGGCCATTGAAGGACTCTTAGACAAAGAGTTGTAAATCAGAGACACAGACATTTGAGAAGGTACAAAAACAGAACACAGTGCTTTCTCCAGCACTGCAAACCGTTACAGGTACCTAGCACTGCTAGCTTCTGAAAAAACAAGCTAACTATAGGTGAGAACCTTAAGAGGTCCAAAGGAAAGGCTTTAACTTTCTGGTGGCTTGTAATTTCTAAAAAACAATGCAGAAAAATGAGCGCAACAAAAACAGCTGAATGATGAAAATCAAAAACTGTGGGGAGTTACAACTCACAATGGAATTGACTATAGAATCTGACCAGAAAAAATCAATTTAAGAATTTTTCAGCCAAGGGACCCCTGGGTGGCTCAGTCGATTAAGCGTCCTACTTCAGCTCAGGTCATGATCTCACAGTTCGTGAGTTCGAGCCCCACTTCGGCTGTCAGCTCAGAGCGTGCTACAGATTCTGTGTCTCCCTCTCTCTCTCTACCCCTCCCCCATTTGTGTACATGCGCTCTCGCTGTCTCACACTCTCTCTCAAAAATAAACATTAAAAAAAAAGGTTAGAGCCAAGTTCAAAATTGCCAAGAGACTTTCAATGTGATACTAAACACTCAGCACTGCATATACTCTCCAAATGAGTAACAGTAATTCCCGTATTTTCCTCCTCAACGGACATTTGAAATGGACTAAATTTTAATATAACTATGTCATCCCTTTTAGTTTTTCAAAACAGTCCCATACTCTGAATGTTTTATTATTTTTTTAATATAATTTGTTATCAAACTGGCTAACATACAGTGTGTAAAGATGTACTCTTGGTTTGGGGGTAGATTCCTGTGGTTCATCGCTTACATATAACACCCAGTGCTCATCCCAACAAGTGCCCTCCTCAATGCCCATCACCCATTTTCTCCTCTCCTCCACCCCTCCTGAATGTTTTCTTAAATACGCATGTTCTACTTATCTTTTTCATCTTCATTATGCCATTGTTTTTCTATCCATAGCTCTCTGCCCGTTCTCTCTTAGTCCTATGTTATTTCCAGGTCATAAAACTATAACATTTATGGAACTATAAGCATGATAAAACTACATATGTGTTATTTATAAGCATCTTAAAATGAAAAGTTTATGAACTGAAGGCCAAATGGGACAAGAAATTTCAGTTGAGTATAATCAGTAGCATTCTTGACCATGAAACTATAGACTGAAAATCCCTTACAAACTTTAACAGAACACAAACTCTCATGATTTATCCTAAAGTATCAAGGAATCTTCCTCTGAAGTTTTAAATATTTTCCAACAAAAATGCATTAAAATTCCCATTTGTCCTAATCAGGTTACTCTAAAAAAAAAAAAAAAAAAAAAAAAAAAAAAAAAAAAAAAAAAAAAAGTCTGTATAATCAATGCATAAAGTCTTTGAATAAATCTTATAAACCATGACACATATTTAGGAAATCAAAATTCACCTCTTCTTGCATAACTGGAGTCCATGTCTTTAAACTGTACCACAACAAAGTCTGAACACTTGAACAAAATACTCTCCATTATTTCTTCACGTTTTGGCCCCGAACTGGATTCCATACTTTTCTCATGTGCAGCATCAAGCACCAAATCACACTAAAATGAGAAGCATGAGTAAATATTCAAAACACTTATAAAATATAAGAATTCTTCAGCATATCAAGGTACTATTTCTTAAATGCCCTTGACAAAAATAATCTATCTCAAGAGAATCTTATAATCATACCTTTTTCTCAGAAATATGACCTATTATCTATTCCATCATTCAAAATACTTCTCACCTACAAGTTGGTCCCTGCTACCATAGTCTGTCTTAAGTAAACTAATGGTGATAAAGAATAGAATAATGAACCACTCAATCCCTCTTCAGGTCCACAATGCTTGAAAAGGTCAAGATACTGTAATAAGCCCACAAAGCAAGTTTGATTATACAAAATAGTTTATAAAATAATCAGTATTTGAAACTGAAGAGCAAAATCTAAGTGGTAAAGTAACTAAACGTGAAAATGTGACAAACATGTCCACATAACTATAAATTATTAAATCAGAAGCTAACAGACACCGTCAGGAAGCCATACAAACATACAGCAGTTGATGATTCATGGGGTTTTACATTCAACAAAAAGAGAAAAGAGTAAAAATTACCTTAGGACTGTAGGTTTTAAAAACTCCTTCATATATACCTCCGTTTTTCACTTGTACTTCACATTTGGATCCCTAAAAACATACAATTAATTTATCAAAGAAACAGTGTGCTAGCCAGTCTCGAGGGACAGTTGCTTTCATTTTATTTTTTATATAGCTCATCAGGCTTCATTCAACATATTAGGTATTTACTGATAGAACAATAAAAAATTTTAAAACATTAACAATACACTGAATTCTCAAAATTCCTCAGGAGGCCCTGCTCAGAGTTTGCAGTATGAATTTAAATACTGAAGGTAAGTATTTCTGACTCTGGTTCTATTAAGTGACAAAATAATGCACTAAAGACAATCATCTACTACTATTATTTTGTACATAGTAGGGTTAACAAGAATGCTTTTATAGTGAGTCACGATAGCTTGGATGGAGTTCTGTTTTTTCTAAATAATCCTAATTGTGACCTAAGAAATGATACTGTGAGAATCATTCATCTACATTTCAACACCATGAAATTACTTTATTGCACTACGCGCCAGGCAGTCTCTCCCCGATAATCTGGTAACTTACAACAACTGATGTAAGTATATGAACCATCCTCATATTTGCATAGATTCCATCAAAAGAAATCTGGAATTTTAAGAAAAAAATATTAGCCATCAGTATTTATCCTTCTGTATACATATTAGAGTTAACATTTAATTTGTTACAAAATGTTTAGTTAGCTTTATAATACCTTACGTGCATTAAAGAAAGATTTACTTTACTACAATCTTTTGTTTCCTTAGAGAACAGAGGCTTAAGTTTTCAAAAGTGAAATCAGTCATACCATCTAACAATGTTTTGACTATACATGACACAAAAAAGCAAAAGTGAACTTCCATATATGAGAAAAGACAAAACCACAAATATTGGGGAGTAAAGGGAGGAGGGTTCACTACAAAGTGGCAGGAGTGATTTTTCAAAGTGAGAGAAATGTCCCATTATCTTGACTGTGGTGGTGGTTACACAATCGTATGCATCAAAACTCACAGACCTGTACACTAAATAGGTTTAACTATATGTAAATAAATGAATGGGGTGGAGGGGTCTTTTGCAGAAGACGCTGCACTATGTTCCCTCAGCACATATCCATCAATCATGGATTTTTTCATTGATAAAAGTTCTAAATTTTAAAACCAGAAGGCTCTTTCCAAGGGAGAAAAATGGAACGAACTAAAAGATAGCACATTAATTCAAAACCAAACACCCAAAGAACTCTGCAACTCCAGTCCTCATGTTCCATTGATCTTTTTTAGGCATTACGTATTTAGATTTGCCTTTAGCCATTTATAAAACAACAAATAACTTATTAGGCAAGAAAAATACTATTAACAGATAATTTTATATTTTTCATATAAAATCATCTCAAAAAACAACATATATAGCTAATAATTTTATACCAAACAGTACTGAAGTATAAAAGTTATAAGAGGGGTGCCTATGTGGCTCAGTCAGTTAACCGTCCAACTTCAGCTCAGGTCATGATCTCACAGTCTGTGAGTTTGAGTCCCCCCGTCAGCCTCTCTGCTGTCAGCACAGAGCCTGCTTCGGATCCTCTGTCCCCTCACTCTCCGGCCCCCTACATTGCTCGTTTTCTCTCTCTCCTCTCTTCTCTCTCTCTCTCGCTCACTCACTCACTCACTCCAAAATAAACATTAAAATTTTCTTTGGGCACCTGGGTGGTTCAGTCTGTTAAACATCTGACTTCAGCTCAGGACATGATCTCACAGTTCATGAGTTCGAGCCCCGTGTCAGGCCCTGTGTTGACAGCACGGAGCCTGGAGCCTGCTTCGGATTCTGTGTCTCCCTCTCTCTCTCTACCCCTCCCTCACAGTCTGTCTCACTTTCTCTCTCAAAAATAAAAAAAAAATTTTTAACGTTGTCAGATATAAAATTCAAGAAAAAGGATTTTTTTTTTACCTTGGCTTTGGTCCACCGGTTCAGAAATCATTTTCATTACCAATTTTTCCAACCAACTAACATTAAAGTTACTCACCGTAGATTGAGGCAGTCCTTTGCTGTTTCGACCTCTGAAAAAATTAAATACTATGTTTATTAAGTTCAACAGGCTAAACATACTAAAAAAAAATTTTCAAATTTAAATTTCATTCAAATAAAGCATAATTCCATTCAAATAAAGCATAGGCAATCCATGGGTAAGGCTCATCTAATATTAACTATAAAGGCTACCTAAGTATGGTTCTCTCTGTGTTTGCTGGCTCAGAGGCCCAGAAAAGATATGGGTCATGGCAGGGAGGAAGGAAGAAATAATGTGAACATGATCAAAATAAAACAAAGTACAAATAAAAATAGCCTACTGGAAAAAATAACCAATACTAAATAATCTTTACTCCAAAAGTAACCTCTCACTCTGTTGGAGAAAACTACTTGGGAATAAAATATAAATTCTATTCCTGATTTAACTGACATATTGACTGACATCAAAGTCACCTCCCATCTTTTCCCCCTGGTCTCTAAATACAGGCACTATGTTTACAAGTGCAGGAAAACACTTGAAAATAAGTTAAATCATTCAGAACACTTTCCTTTCTAAATAATAAGTACCTCTGTCAGTATCTATGTAACAAGTGTCTTTCCTTGCCAACCCCCTACCTCTGAAACAATGCCGTACACCAAAGTCAGCTGTCAAGTAATTTCTAGTAAGGTAGACAATATTGTCAAGTGAGTTTAGTTATAGAGCATAACACGACCTAAGGCTTGTTCCAATGGAAAAGATTAGGCCCTTTATGAAATGATACAAACATTAATAGAGTGAAATTCTATATTCCTCAGAAATATTAGTTACTCTGGAATTATAGGACTGGAATCTCATTTTAATAAAATAACCATGATACTCAAGCCACAAATTTAAAACATTCAAAGAGAAGTACAATTCAGGTCTAAAGAGTCTATCAGTATGAATGGTGCCAATTCCCAGTAAAATAGCACTGATCTTAGAACTCCAAGGACAGGATTGGTTTGCTCTCCAACCCAATCACTCTCTCTCATCTAGAAATTAACATCTGACCACAACACCTCTGAAATTCTTTCCATTTCTAACATTCTGATTCCGTAACTCTTTGCTTCACACATAGCACCGAGAGAGAAATTACTAAAGTCTAAGGAAGAGAACTAATAATAATAGTAACTAATACTTACTACAAAAACCAGACCCTGTGGTAAGCACTATGTGCAATCTCTTACCCTTCACTTTACAGGTGAGGAAACCAAACCTTAGTTAATTATCTTGACTAAAATCCTCTAGTTCATGAGCAGGAGAGCTGGTATTGTAACCAGGTGACCCGAAGTCCAGGCTTTTCATTTCTAGATTATACTGCCTCTCTAAAACTGTGTCACAAGGAATAAACTACCTTCACAATTAAACCTAATCAAATTTCTAAATTTTTTCAAATAAATTCATTTCATTTGAATTTATTGGGGTTTTCTATTTATTTGTAGCCTGTAATTAAAGGCTATATAAAATGGCTAAAAATCTTGCTTAGGGTTACCTTATCTTAGTGGTTGCTGAGATGCCACAGTTAAGATATAAATGCCACCAATTCAGTACCCATAAATTCACCTGCATCCCCATAAAGCGATTTAAAAGAATTTAAAGACTTCTGTGAGGTGGGACTTCTATATTTTTATTGATTATACAATTACATCTTTGACTAATAAAGAGCAATTGTTTGACAACCTGGTTTACTTAGTAGAACAAATCATACTTGGGCTTGGGCTGAGAGCAATACCAAGAGGTACGGAGTATAGAAACCACTGATTTTCACTGACCAAACCCAGTGGTGGAATAACCAAGGGAAATGTTAGCATACCATAGGAGCATTCTCTGAAACTTATGCTAAAAGTTTAAATTCATTCTTGTTTTTTCTTTTGGGATCCATTTAGAGATGCTTCACTTTTAATTTTTTCTTTAGTATTTTGGAACAAAGCAAGTTAATGTTGCATATAGTTACAAAAACTAAATTTCAAAAAAGCCAAGATCATATTCTAGTCCTAAACATACCTATGATTAGATGAATATTTCACAAAACAATCATATCCAGGATTATATGCTTTCAATAGTTATTGAATATCAAGTTAATATGTGATTCAAAATGCCAAGTTAATATAAAGAAATTTTAAAGAGTAACAGTAGTTTATATTGCTTCAAACTAATACAGGAAGGAGGAAATAGCTGGGGTTGTAAATAAGACTGGCTTGAGTTAATAACTGTTGAGACGAGGTGACAGGTGTGCAGGGCTTCATTTTTATCATTCTGCATGTTTTTCACAATTTCTTTAGGTTAAAAAAAAAAAAAAAAGTACCTTCTGATATGATGCAATTGGAGCCTGGATTTAATCAAGACCTACTAGTTTACGGGAAACAGGGTGTAGAAGAATATATTAACTGATACCATGAGGTTACAAATCCGTTAAACCCAGAATGTGGTATTTTTTTTTTTAAGTTTATTTATTTGAGAGAGAAACAGAGAGAGCCTGCGAGTGCGAGCAGGGGAGGGGCAGAGAGAGAGGGAGAGAAAGAATCCCAAGCAGGCTCTCCACCTGGGGCTCGAACTCACCAACCTTGAGATCATGACCTGAGCCAAAATCAAGAGTCAGGTGCTTAACCCACTGAGCTACCCAAGCGCCCCCAGAATGTGCTACAGTAATCAGAATAGTGTAGTGCTGGCATAAGGACAAACATAAAATCCAATGAAATAGAATAGAGAGCCCAGAAATAAACCCTCACATATATGGTGAAACTTTACAACTTAAATCATACACAAAAATTAACCCAAAATGGGTCAAAGATGTAAATTTAAGAGCTACCACTATGAAATTCTTAGAAGAAAACACAGGAGAAAAGTCTTTGTGACTTTAAACTTAGCAATGATTTAACTGTGACACCAAAATGCATAAACATTAAAAAAAATACCAAAAATTATTTCATCAAAATTAAAAGCTCTTATGCAAAGGATTATCAGTTATCAGAGTAAAGACACCACTTTTCAGAGTAAGATATGTACATTTCCTGTATCTGATAATCCAGAATACATAAACAACTACAATTCATTAACAACAAAAAAACATACAACCCAATTCAAAAATGGACAAAAGACTTGAATAGACATTTCTCCAAAGAAGCTATACAGTTAGCCCATAAGCACATGAAAAGATGTTCAACATCACTAGTCATCAGGAAAGGTGCAAATCAAAATCACAATGAGCTACCACTTCACCCCCACTATGAAAGCTATTATAAAAAAGACAGAAAATCACAAGTGTTGGAAAAATGTGGAGAAACTGGAACCCATGTGTACTACCTGTGGGAATGTAAAATGTTATAGCTGCTGTGGAAGACAGTATGGCAGTCCCCCAAAATTTAAACAGAATTGGGGCACCTGGGTGGCTCAGTCAGTTAAGCGTCCGACTTCAGCTCAGGTCATGATCTCACCATTCATGAGTTCGAGCCCCACATCAGGCTCTATGCTGATAGCTCAGAGCCTGGAGCCTGCTTCAAAAAATCTCTCTCTCTCTCTCTCCGCCTTCCCTGCTCATGCTCTCTCAA